CCCCAAAACCCCAAAACCCCAAAACCCCAAAACCCCAAAGATACATAAAAGAATTGAGAGATGAAAGTATTCTAAAAAGATTACTATTTCCAATCAATAATTAAGCTTTACTAAATCGATTCACCATTTCTGTGAAATGCGAATTCTTGTCTTTCAGAAGCTCTTCAGGTGTCCCAAACTCCATTAGTTCTCCAAAACTCAAGACTGCAATCTTGTCGCTCTTCATGATGGTGTTCAGTCTGTGGGCGACTGTGATCACAGTGGAGTCTTTGAACTCTTGCTTCATCAGCTTCTGAACTGTCTCTTCAGTGTTCACATCAATGCTTGCAGTGGCTTCGTCCATAATCACGATCTTGTTCTTTCTGAGGATGGCTCTTCAGATGCACACGAGAGCTTTCTCGCCAGCACTTAGGTTGGACCCTTTCTCGGCCACACTGAAGTTAAGTCCGTCAGTGGTTCTGTTCAAGAGGTGGCTGAGATTGGCTCTGTTCAACAGTTTCTGTATTTCTGAGTCTGAATGCTGACATTTAGGGTCGAGGTTGAATCTGAGAGTGTTCTTGAATAGCACTGGTTCTTGTGGAATAATGGTGATTCTGTCTCTGAGATCAGCTAGACCCACTTTAGAAATGTCAACATCATCAATTTCAATTGACCCTTTAAGAGACTCAAGAATTCTACACAGTGCCAGACAGAGAGTGCTTTTACCAGCTCCAGTTCTTCCGACAATTCCTATTTTCTGGGCTGGCTCAATTTGGAAGGTGATGTTTTTCAACACAACTGGAGTATCAGGCCTGTAACGAACAGAGAACTGTTTGAAATGGATTTTACCTTGACTGATCCAGGGTTGATTATTTTGGCTGATTGGGAGAGGAAGTTGTTGAGGAGCTTCTTGATGAATCTCCATAAATTTTTTACACTTATCAAATGAGCTCATCATATTATGCACATTTCAGAAATGCATTAAAAAGTTCTTTAGAAGCGATTGTAAATCAATCACATACATCATTAGTAACCCAATGATTACCGTGTCCTTATTATTTCTGTATATAATGCAATAAATATAAAGAAAGATAATAAAAACAATTCAGATATTATTAAGTTTCATTCAGAACCAAGATTTAAGGCCTCTCTGAAGCACTAATACAGAATATTCCTTGTCTTTGAGCTCGAATCTTTTAGATTCAAACATTTTGACTTTATTGAATGCTCTGATAGTTGAGACTCCTTCTATTGATTCACTTAAATGGATGATCTCTTTTGCACTGAACATTCTTTGGTATTTGCTTAGCTGTTTTTCAGTTTTCAAGTAATCAATAACCACAATATAATAGAGGAACCCTGCTCATGGTAGAATTAGGAAACAAAGAGGAGCAGAGTAGACAATGAACCAGATCGTAGCTCATATCATAACGAAGTTTCTGATCCCCCATTTTAATCCATCAGGGATACCTCTTGTAACACAATTCAAGTCTGATGTGAATCTTTTAGCAATCAGTGAAGAAGGAGTAGCATCAAAGAACAAATTTATAGGAGCAAGAATCAACCTTTCAAACATTTCATTGAAAATCTTTTTGTCTATCATGTAGCTTTGAGCTATTTCAATCATTCGACTAGAAATATCAGATAAAATCAGAATAACTACTAAAATTCACACATATATTAAATCTTGGTAATCAATTTGCTTGGTAGTTTCAATAGTCTCAACTGATTTTAGCATTAAATAGTCTGCTTTCATGATTCAAAACTTCATTAAAACTTGGGTTCCAATTCCAACAAGAATGAAAAAGATTCCTTCCTTTAAATAAGTAAGGTATCTCATGTATGTTAGAAATGACATTTCTGTGTTTTGATCATCGTAGTCTTTTATTAATTTCTTTTCTTGATGACTGAGGTAGTGCTTCTTTTTGTGTTCGACTTCATCAGAGTCTTCATCTTCACTTGAGTTTTTCTCTTCGTCTTTCTTGTCCTGAGCCTCCATTGTCTGCATGATTTTCCTGAAATAGCTGTGCTCCATCAGCTGTTGGTAGCTCCCATTGAGCTTGACTCTGCCTTGCTCCATGACGATGACTCTGTCAACTTTGTCCAAAAAGTCGACTGCATGAGTCACAATAACTCGGGTGCGGTCTCGGAGTTCTCTGCAAAACACTTCATCGAAGATAAGCTTCTTGACATGGGAATCCAGCGCTGATAGCGGATCATCCATCAACACTATGTCTCTGTCGGCATACAATGCTCGAGCAATGCTGAGTCTGGCTTTCTGGCCACCGCTGAGTGTGATGCCTTTCTCTCCAACATGTGTGAGGTCTCCAGCTTCGAAGACTTCAAGATCTTTTCCTAGCTGAGCTGCTTCTACCACTCGGTTGTACCTGGCTTCATCAAGAGGATGACCGAACAAAATGTTTTGTCTGATGGTTTGGCTGAGAACGAAGGGTTTTTGCTCAACCAAACTTACAGAGCCGGCCACTCGAATTCTGGGTCGAACATTCTTGACATTTTGGTTTCTGAAATCCATGACATCTTCTTTCTTCACAAAAGTATTGCTGTTATTTGCTGAATGGTCATTATCTTCATAAGCATTACTGATTTGTGTGTGGCCATATTTCACGAGAGTTTGGTCATCAACATAAAGGGTTTCTTTGAGAAGAGTTTTGATGAGAGAAGATTTGCCAGAACCTACATCTCCGATGATGGCTACAAGCTCATTTTTCCTTATTGCCAGTTCTATATCTTGCAAAGTTATTTTTTGGACAAAACTCTCAAAATTTTTCCCTCTTTTTAAAAAATAATTTGTAATCCTCTCATTCTCATTTTTCTTTGTTTCCTTTTCTGTTCTTTTTTTTGTTTTAAATTTATTATCTTTATTAATTGATTTTTCAAACCAAATAGAATCGAATCCCCAAGAAAAGCTGGACCTCTCAATTTCAATAATATTTTCACTCTCTTCAATCTCTCTGCTAGAAAAAATGTGATTCTCTATTTCTGGATTATTAAGGAAGTCTGTTATTCTGTTCACTGACACTTTATATTCGGAGTAAGAGCAGATAAAGTTAGGGACTAATCCAACATTATATTTGATTTTGCCTACGAGTCTCCACATTGCAATAGTAACTGGAACAGTGAACTTCATGTTGTATCCAAAGATTCAGACTCCGAATACACTTAATATGATCAAATAATCTGTAAGCCAATACACTATGGTGTGAGGCATCCAGATTAGTCCTGTCAACACGTCATTGTAGTGTTCTTTCAATCTTAGTTGGCCTAACTTATCTTCAAAGAATTTTACCCAAGAATTCATTTTTAAAGTCTTAATGTTGACAATAATTTCGCCAAGAATAGTCGACCTATTATCATCATCTCTTCTTCTGTTCTTCTCTAATTTTATATTTCAGATCAAGACCAAGTAGAATAGGAAGAAACTTATGAGTAGTATAACTGCAGGAATCCAAACGATATGGCCAATATAAGCATATAAGGAATAGAAAGTCATCAGGACAAGACAAGGAACTGATGACATACGGCAACATTGGCATACAAACCTGTTTATTTTATTGCAATCTTCTCCGATTAAGTTCAAAATTTTTCCTTTCTGATAGTTTTTGTTTGTCGCATCAGATAGTTTAAACAGCTTAGAATAAATATGACTTGAAAGAACTCTGCTCATACAATCTCCTCACTCAAGCATTTTAGTTTCTACCAGCATCAGACATCCTCTTGCGATGAATTCATTTATCGCTAGCATGAAAACACATGTGATTGACCAAGACTGATTGTTATGCTCATTGCTAACATAAGAAAGAACTTCTCTAAGAACATGAAAGTTTATTGCTTCAAGAAAGATTGAAAGTCATGCAGCACATATGCTAACGAAAAGAGGTTTTTTGTATAAGCTTAATAGAATCATCATTAAGCTATATCCTCTGATATTCTTTGAACTCTTCAGTCTCTCTAGGAATCTATTAGTCTGATATTGAGTAGAATCAGAGAATTCAGCCTTCCCAATATCGTTCTCAGATATATCTCTTTTATTTGCAAGCTATAGCTCATTAGATATTTAAATGAACCTCAATGGTCGGATTTATCCAATAATAAGTCAAAGATTGGAACCAGGATCGTGTTCTATATTCCTTCAAGCAATCCATTGGCTTTCTACCTTGGATGCTCTTGCCATCAACTCTTTGGGTTGATAAAATTTTGTTCTGCTTTCTCCTAAGAAAATTAGAATAAATTGTTGAATATAACAGTTAAGATTAGGAATTCAACCATAAAGTCTAATAAAGGTAAATTTTTAGAAGCAGATAAAAACTATTTTTCAGAAATATGTCCACATCTTCCAAGTAGCGGCAGATCATTAAAAGTTGTTTTTGGATATCATATCGATATGTTTAAATCTTAACTCGGGAATTCAACAAAGAACAATGGAAGAGTATCTCAGGATCTTCTAAGGCAGCTCACATCTCTGGATAGTAATGATTATAACTCTTCAATATTAGTTCTGTTAAAAGGGGTTTTGGGGTTTTGGGGTTTTGGGG